AGCCAACAATGGTTTGCCTTTGGCCTCAGGACTCTGAACCCTGTTTCCAACAGCAAAAAATATGGAGTGGAAGAAGGAGCCATGGGGAGGCCTGGTTATTGCCATTCCACTGAAACAAACTCTCTGTAAACTAGTTAAATGGTTCTGGAAGAAAAGGGGTTCTATTTTGTCCCCTGTCGTCAGGGCTGCACATCCTGATATATCTTGGGCATAGCAGAGAAGTGGATGGCTCAGCACTTGGAGAGATGCCCACAAGGCAGGAAGTGGGGAGGGTGGCTCAACAGGTGTCTCTCTATTCTGAGCACGGTCCTGTGATGGGTGAATGTACATCCAGCTGAAATAAAAAATAACTTTCAATACCCATCACTGGCACAAACAGCCGACGGCCTCCCTTTCTTCTGAGGACAAGGAGTGCACTCCAAGGCTCGAACCCTTTCGGCTCGGCTACTTGGGTAGTTTTGCTGCGGCATTCAGAACCCCTCCCCCTTGAAACTGAGGTGGGCTGGTGAGCTGGAAGCTTCCCCTAGTGTGGATGCATCCTCACACAGAAAGGCTAAACACAGCAGCTCTCTGGAGTGTCTGCCTGGGCACTGTGTCCTCAACCCTGAGTCTTCACCATCTGAAAGGACAGTGTACTGAACTTTGCCTCAGAGGGACAGAAGTGTGCTGGGGGAGGAGGGGTCAGAGTTGCTCAACTGAAGTCCTTGGGGACAATTTTCTTTAAAGATTTAAATTCATTCTTGGGGGTGGGGTGTGTGCGCACGCAAGCACGGTATACATGTGGAGGTTAGAGGACAACTTGTCAGGAGTCAGATCTCTTCTTCTACCATGTGGATTCTGGGGATCAAACTTAGGGCGTCAGGCTTGGCAGCAATCATTTTAACCAACTGAGTCTTATAGTCAATCCGAGAGGGCTCAGTTCTTCGGATAGTAAACATTTTCCAGTGGGCTGACCACACCACAGGGGAATGCTCAGTGAGCATCATGCAGAACTCCGTAAGCCTTGGGTCTTGTCTTCAGCAAACTATATAAACATTCGCACTGGGCTTTGATAAGGATGCTAACCACTGTCCACTTCACCTCAGGGCGGCAGCCAAATGCTTGCCCAGCCTTGTGAAGAATGCCGAGCTTCAGAATCTGGGAACTTTAACACTGCAGAGGAGTAACAGCCGCAGTCCTAGCATGCCTGGCGCCTGTCCCTGCTGGACTCTGACTAGCTGGCCTTGAGCAAGGACGTCCTCTCTGAGTCTCAGTTTATTCTTTGAAAAATGGCCCTGTGGTTGTAAGACGTGAAGAGGAGATGCGGGGTGGCTCACTGGAAGTGGGACTGCCCACATCAACAGTCCCACAGCACGTTGGTGACTCTGTTGTAGAGCCTGGTGTCTGTCTGCATTTGAGACAAGCATAGAAGGCTGGCACATAAATAGAACATCTGTTGGCCAGCCGAGACCTTACACCGACAAGAACCATGGAAGTGCTAGGAGGTTCCCCAGACTCACAAGCCTGTTGGGGTAGCGGGGTCAGATTGAACGCTAGCTTAGCCTAGGAAATGGTTGTCTACAGACCAGCATGTACCCTCAAACCCTACAGAGGCACAGCCCTGCCCAGAAAACACTGATGCTGGAGCCATCGAAGCCCACATCCTATATAATGGGACTGGCTCCATCACTGTCCCCTCCTATAGTCCTGCTACTGGGGGTCACCTCCATTCACACTGTGTTACTTTTCTCATTGCTGCAATGAAATACCTAACAAAGGCGACTTAAGGAAGGAAGGGTTTGGGTTTGGTCCACAGTTCCTGGTTACAGGCCACCATGGGGTGGGGAGGGTCATGGTGGCAGGAGTCTGAGAGATAAATGGTGGCATTCAGCTCACTTTCTCCTTTGTATTGACACTAGGCCTCCAGCCCAATGGGGGCACCATGCACAGTAGAGTGTGTCTTCCCATCTCAGTAACTCCCCACAGACACACCCAGAGCACCCTAAGACCCTAGACCCTGTCAAATTGACGGCCAGCAGGAACCATAATACACAATTTCTCTAGAGAAGATATGAGCTACCTGCTCATCTGCCAGCTACCCCAAATCTAACCCACAGCACCAGAGACCCCAGCCAGACCCTACCAGTCAGCCTTCCCCAGATTCCAGAGACCCCAGGCCAGACCCTATCAGTCAGCCTTCCCCAGACCCCAGAGACTCCAGGCCAGAGCCTACCAGTCAGACTTCCCCAGATCCCAACCCACAGGAATTGAAAGACCAGGATGGGCTTGCTGCTGTTTTGTGGTTAGATTTTGGAATGGTTTGTTGCTGTGACCAAAATCCTCAAGGAAACAATAAAAAGAAGGGCTTATCTGGAGGCTGGTTAGGAGGTGTGATGGAACAGCCCCATCCTCACGTGACGACAGGAGGGTGGGTCAGTGTCTATCCACATGATGGCAGACCAGGAAGCAGAGCGAGCCAGCCAGAGATTGGGGGGGTGGGGGGATATGATCTTCAAGGGTCCACCCTCTGTGACCAACATCCCCCAATCAGATTCCACCTCCTAAAGGTTCACCAGTTGAAGAAAGCATCCAAGACATGAGCCTCTGGAAGATGGTTCAGGTTTACACACTCACACACAACACACAGCAGAGCATAGGGTGACCACGTGTCATGAGAATATCTTCCATGGGAAGACATACACAAAGATCCATCCTCTTCTTATAATGCCTCAATAACAGAGTATAAGCCATCAAGCCCCCACTATGAGGACCCACTAAGTTCAGTGGGCTTACTTACGGAGCATAGCAATCAGGCTACTTACAGAAGCATGGGCAACCCCAAAGTGGCCACCCCACCAACAGGGAGGACAACTTCCCTATAGCTGCACAGACGGGGCCCACTCCATCTAGCATCTATATCATCTCGCATCACCCAAGTCCATATCACCCAAGTTACCTACTGTCCAGGTACAAGAGAGAGCAGCTGGACTCCCAGGTGAAGAAGGTCCAATGACCTCCCGACCTCCTCCTCCACAGTTAATGGGCAGGATATCAGGGGTCCCTTGCAAGGAGTCACAGCTGCTCTGACACTCAGCAAACAGCACTCTCCATAACACACCCGACCAATAACATCTTTTTTCCAAGTCAGTTATTCATAGGGATCCCTTTCTCTCCTCAACACATTCTAATTTGGGTGATAAATTACATGGTCACTTGTCATCAGGCTAAGCCATTCCCCTCACAACCCAGAATGATAGAATACAAGACACACCTTGAACACAGAGTCCAAAACGTTGATGCTCTTGGGTCTGCCTATGTGGTGAGTCCACATGGGGAGCCTGGGCTCCCTCATAGATCACTCCTGTAGGTACTGGCAACTTCAGAGCTGGAAAATGTATCACCCAGTCTCCACCATGCAACCTCAGATGTCTTTCAGCATTCTGCTATTCCAAAAATGAGCTCTGATTCCTTGAACTCTGGGTGTGAGGCAGGAGGGGGCAAAAGGGAGGAGGGTGATGAGAAAGGGCAATGGGAATGAATATGATCCATGCATGCTCGTGTGCATGTGTAGAAATGCCATAATAGAAAACACAATTAGGCAAGCAATATGCACTCGTAAAGTTTAAATAAAAATTTCAAAGCAAGAGCCAGGCATGACTGCTCACATCTGTCACCTCCAGACTCTGAAGTCTGAGGCAAGAAGGTTACAAGTTCAAGGCCAGCCTAGACTGTAGATGGAAGTTTGGGTCCTGTCTGGTACCACAGCCATTCAGTCCCAAATAAACACACAGAGGCTGTTATAACTGTTTTGCCTGTTGCTCAGGCTTATTACTAACTAGCTCTTACAACTTAAATCAAGCCATAATTCTTCTCTATGTTTAGCCATGTGGCTTGGTACCTTTTCTCAATAAAGCATCCTATCTTGCTTCCTCTGCCTCTGGCTTACAACTGCATCTCTGCCTTTCCTCTTCCCAGAATTCTCTAGTCTGGTCACCATGCTTATACTTCTTGCCTAGCTACTGGCCAATCAGCATTTTATTAAACCAGTATGGGTGACAAAACTTTATAGTGTATAAGAGCATTACCTCACAGCACTGAACTATAGGAGTTGACTCAGTCTCTAAAAGAAGGTCTTCTTCCACTCACCACCACACATGCATGACCAACAGAACACTCGCACATAACCCCAGAGTCCTCTTCCCTTTGAATTGTAGTACCTGAGCCCAGCCCATAGAAAAACACTGGAATTGCTGCAGACACTCACAGTAAAGTGTCTGTATGTGAGAGGGAGAGACAGAAGACACAGACAAGAGAACAATGCCACCCAGGGATGGCCTCCTCCACCAAACCACCTGGTAGGGGAGCTTTAGAGTCCATAAAACTGCCATCTAAGATGGGCATGGTGGCACATGCTTTTAATTCCAGCACTTGGGAGGCAAAGGCAGGTGGATCTCTGTGAGTTTGAGGCCAGCCTGGTCTACAGAGTGAGTTCCAAGACAGCCAAGGCTACAGAGAAACACTATCTCAAAAAAAAAAAAAAAAGACCTGCAATCTAATCCCACCTCTGCTCTGTGAGCCATCTACCCAAATACCGAGAGCCTCCTTCCCCTAACACTAATAGGAAACTGGCCCTTCTTATAGAACTGTCATTTAAAAAGCATCACTCATAGAAAGCACGTAGCACCTTGCCTGGCACAGTCAGCACTCAGTAAACGGTGTATCTCTCCTGAAGGCACTGTAGGTTCACTAGCGCACGCACTTATCTAGACAGGTGTTTTATCAGAACAGGGCAGTGGCACAGGATGGGCCTCCTGCTCCCAGATGTGACTTGTGGGGACATATAGGAGAGCATATATGAGACCTTAAAGCCCGCCTCCACGGCGACACATTTTCTCCAACAAGACCACACCTCTTAATAGTGCCGCTCCCTTTGGGGATCATTTTCTTTCAAACCACCACATAATACAAAAGTCAAAAAGACAAGACCCATGGAGATGAGAGTGTCGAGAGAAGGTACCCACCTTGCTTGCCTGTGTTCAGCTCTTGGTCAAATGTGTCCATGCTCCACCTGCATGTCTGGTACCTACAAAAACCAGAAAGAGCATTGGATCCCTAGAACTAGTGTTACAGATGGTTATGAGCCACCATGCAGACACTAGGAACCTTGCAAGCCAGGGCTCCAACTGCTGAGCCATCTCCCCAGCCCCAAATGTCCCTTCTTAGGAGACACCTTTCCTTCTACCTCAGCCTCCCTCTCACACCAAGCAGAACACAAGGGGATGGAGCACACCTCTCAGTTGCTGAAAGAAACCCTGATGGAGTAGGTGGAGGTCTCTCGCCAGCCATGTGAACTTGGGTTAATGCCCCTCTCTAAACTTCTTTTGGTCATGAGTAAAATTTATATTAAAATACTGTAATCAATGCTGGATGTGGCGGTACACGCCTTTGAAGCCAGCACTGGGGAGGCCGAGGCAGGTGCATCTCTGTGAGTAGGAGGCTAAATTGGTCTACATAGCAAATTCTGGGCTAGCCAGAGATACATGGAGACTCTGCCTAAAATAAATAATAAATACTGTAATCTTGAGAATTGAAATGTGGGCTTTGTCACATAAATCACTGTGCTATCCTCAGCCATTATGAGCCGTACTCAATTATCCAAGGAGACTCTGTGCCTTTCCAAACTAGAGACTGTGAAAATTCTTAGAGAAAAAGGCTCCAGTTCCCAATTCACACTTTCTGACAAGAATGTAAACTTTGGGCAGGGTAATGGTGATGCATGTCTTTACTCTCAGCACTCAGAGGCACTCAGATCTCTGAGTTCGATGCCAGCCTGTTCTACAAAGTGAGTTCCAGGACAGCACAGAGAAACTGTCTTTTAAAAAAAAAATGCAAACTTCATTTTGAGACTGGGTCTCATATAGTCCAATTTGGCCTTGAACTTCAGGCTGAAAATTACTTGATCTTGGGCTTTTTTTGGTTTGTTTGTTTTTTTTTTTTTTTTTCTGAGACCTTGGTCATCTGGTCATCCTATTTCCCCAGATGCTGAGATTACAGGTATGTGCCTATGTGCCTGGCTTACACAGAACTGGGGATTGAACCCAGGGCCTTGAGCATGCCAAGCAAGCTCTCTACCAACAGAACCACACCCCCAGCGAAGAACGTGGGGGCTTAATTTGTTTTGTTTTGTCTTACTTCCTGTCTCTAAAAGCAGTTCTAAAGGTCTTGGGTCTACAAAGCACTTCTTGGGCACACTGTAGAACAGCGCCACTGCACAAGAGGGATACAGAACTGCAGCCACAGAGTCTGGAGGGCCACTTGTAAGAGAACACGCTCCAGGGAAAGCTGAGGAGGCAGGAACCTCCACATCCTCCATCTAGAGAGCAGAACATCTGGGCCAGAATATACATGTCTCCTTATATCTTAGGACACATTTCAATTTTCTATTGATTTGGGGGCTTGCTATGGAGTCCAGGCCGGCATCAGATTTGCAGCAATCCTGCCTCAGGTTCTCAGGTGCAGGGAGTTCAAGGTCAGCCCAGGGAATTTAGTGAGACCCCGTTTCAAATTTTTCCAAAAGGTTTTATTGTCGGTGAGATGCAGCAGTCTTCAAAGCAAGTGCCTTTTCTCGGAACCCTCTCCAGCTTCACCAGCTCCCCTCTGGCATCATGATCCTCCTGCCTCCATTTTAGTAGAGGGGTCCCAGGATATGCTACCACTCCTGGCCAGGAACCACCTCCTAAAGACACAGACACATGACAGGCCCACAGCAGTGACAGTGGCCCTTCCGGGCAGAAAGAACAGCAAGTGTAGAACCCGCTGAGAGGGAAATGAGAGCAGACCATGGTGGCCAGAGCAGAGCAGAGCGGGTATAGAACAGCAGACAACCAAGTGAGAAGGCAGCCAGAATGTCAGGCCACGGGAAGGTAGTCTACTTTACGGTATGCTTCCCCAGGAAGGTGCTAGCTGTGTGGGAAAACCTTTGACCATGTTGAGGAGCAATCCACTGGCGGGCAGGGAATGAACAGATCAAGCTATGAGGGGAGATGGTACAATGAGGGGAGTTAGCACAAAAGATGTGACTGAAATTAGAATAGACAGGCTAGTCATGAACGGACCCAGCAGGATTCACCAAATCCTGAGAATAAAAACTTGGGAAAACTGGAAGAGAAACTCATTGGTAATTTAAGGAAATGGGTCCCCCTCCCCAACACGCTCATTTTCAGCACATTTAGAGGACAAATCACCTGACCAAGTTCATCCAAGTAGCGTCCACGGTATGACTAAAAAGTGGAACGGACTTCAGACAACTATTTATTTTGTCTTATTAGCTACCATTTCCAGTTTACATAAAAGGAAACCAGGCCCTAAGAGGCGAAGACTGTACAGCCAGACATGGATGAACCTGGACATATGTGTCTAAGAACAGATGTGGTCTCTAATAAAGGAGATCTGCTGGGAAGCTAAAAGGAAACCTGGACAGCTAGGCAGACGGACCGGCTTTAACTAAAAGCTCATCCTTTGTGTCTCTGTCCAGGTTTCGTAATTGCCTAGCACTCTACTGCTGCACAGGGCAGAAGCCAAGAGGTCGCACTGACTCGCGCCCTCTGAATCGTAATTATCAATTAAAACGCAGACTCCTGGGCTGCAGTTTGGATAGTCCCGGCTCGAATATCAATTTACGGAAGTGGGAAAACCTAAACCTGCTTTTGTTTTACTTTTAATTAGCAACCAGAAATCTCCGTTGAATAATGAGGTTTGAGATCTGTGGAACAGAGGTCTGAGCCCTGGCGGCCACCCAGAAGTTCTGGGAGCCTGGACCACGCCGGTCACTTGCCGCCCCTCACCCGGCGTTGGTGCCACAGGAAAACAGCACAGGTAATGCGCGGGGCCGCCCTCCTGGTCAAGTCCAACACGACCAAAAAACCAGACCGGAGCCGGCGGGAGCCGAGAGGTATTGTGGGAGGCAAAAGGGCGAGGCGACCGCGAAGCATTGTGGGACACCGCGTGGCTGACTCCGGCTCCCTGCCCCAGCTTCCTCTCGCACCGCGCGCGGCCACGTTTCAGTTCTGAGTCGTTCTGGGCGTCCCCAGATGCCGCTGACGTAATCACCCGCACTCCGTGTCGGGCACCTCAGAGGATGACAAGGAAATTAAGCGAAGAACCGTGACACACTTCCGGTTGGGTCTTCGCTTTACGGCTCGACGTTTTTCCGCTAAGAAGGAAGTGGTGGAGGCGTTTACGACCGCGCTGCCCGCGCTTTACGGCGCCGGGCCCTGCGCGCGCCACTTGCCTCCTGTCTTGGTTCCTCCGAGTCCCGAGAATCTCGGAGTCTCTTCCCGTGCCATCTGTCGCCATCTGGGCCCGCGGAGCCCATTGCAGGTGAGCGCATTGTTTCGTAGAGCCCCGCGGACCTCGCGGGCCAGCCTGGCCTAGGCCAGGCTCTGGGGGACCTCCCGGAAGAGCCTGCCTTTACGACCTCTCCTGCCGTCGCTGCCCCTCCGCTGGGCGGGGCGGGAACCGGTCTGGGGTGGTCCCGGGCGCGACCCCGTTAGTGCAGGACAGCGGCCGCGGTGTGGGCTCCCTCAGCCGGTGATCGGCCCAGAGCCGTAGAGAGTTAAACGATTTTTTTTTCTGCTCCGACATGGACGACTGAGAGGAGTAGGCTCACAACCCGGTCTGAAACGGAACCTGGAGTTAGCTCATGGCTCCGTCTCTAATGTCCACGGTAATCCGCACCGTGCTGTGGCCAATACAACTGTCGCCTCGTTCTAGTTTTCCCGTTCCAATTACTTTGTGGTTCACATGTGCAGAAGCCAGAGGACTCCAAGCCTCTGCCCGTCCAGGGAGACGATGCATGTCAAGCCTTGAACTGTCTTGAACTTGTGACAACTAAAATTTCCAGTTGCTTTTGAGACAGCATTGTGGGTATGGCTTTAGAGCACCCGACTGTCAGGCTGTCACCTGGCGACAGCATAGCCTAAAGAGGGCCGGGCTGAGGCAGACAGCCCTGGAAACTGTTTAGAGATGACGGGAAGATGGACTGCTTAAGTAAGAGCCATCTTTGTTTCTCCAAGTGGCGGTATGAGGGAGCACAGAACCGACACATGCTGGGGGCTCTTATTTCATGTGAACGGTTAGAAAGCCGCCCCCCCTTCCCCATGTCCTCTTCCTACAGATTAGCATAAGTTCACATATGGGAATGACACCCCCAAGTTTATTCCTTGTTGCTGTCACCTAAATATCTTGAGCTTCCCTGAAGCGGAGCAAGGGGAAGAGATTACTAACCTCTCTGGACATTGTTAGACAGTTCTTTTTCTTTCCTCCCCCGAGACAGGGTTTCTCTGTGTAGCCCTGGCTGCCCTGGAACTCACTCTGTAGACTAGGCTAGCCTGGAACTCACAGAGATCCGCCTGCCTCTGCCTCCCGAGTGCTAGGGTTAAAGGCGTGCACCACCACTGTCTGGCTATGTCAGACAGTTCTTGTGGGTGATCTATGTATGGTTTGTTTGGTTTGGTTTGGTTTTTGGTGGGAAGTGTCCAGCAAACCCCTGAATTATATAACTATTGGTTTTTACTTTTCTAAAATGACCTGTTGCATTCTACAGACTGAGATTCCAAAGCTACACTGCCAGGGTTCCAATTTTGAGTCATCCAGCATTACAGCATTTATTTCACCGTACCTTTCTATCTTTACCCGGAAAGTGGGGACAGAGCTGGCTCGGCCCCACAGGGTGGTTAGAGGGTTTAATGAGCTGGCGTGCTGTAAGAAGCAAGAACAGTGCCCTGGTGCCTGGTGTTCACATTTGACCCTTGGCCACGTTTGCAGCCGTCCCATGGGCCCTTACCCTGCTGGTTTTGCTCTGAAGTTTATGGTGAACTCCATCACCTAGCAGTGCTCGTGACTGTCTGCACGCACGGTACAGGGTTTGTGCTGAAAGTCAGATTCTGGGATCTACCCAAGGGGCTCGGGATTCTGTGGTTTTAGTCCTTTGTTTTTTTTTTTAAATTTTGTTGCTGTGTGTGTGTGATGAGTATGGGCACATGCTTACCTTGGCATTCAGCTGGGGGTCGGAGGAGTCAGCTCTCTCCTTCCTCTTTGGCTCCACCTTTACCTTCTCTGCTGGTCAGTGTATTTGTGTGTCTGACTAGTAACTGTGTGGCATGGTTACAAATTCAATGACAATGGTCCTATGATACAGACTGTCCTTTACTTTAGAGCCTGGGCTTAGAGGAGTTGGGTGCTTTGGTGAAGGTGTGTTTGAGGGAACTTTTACCATATATCATGAATCTGAGACACCTTTATCTTACATTATACTGAGAAAAAAAAAGATGCGACATCCCATCAAGTATAGGGCACAGCGTCATTTCAATGATATTCACCAAAAAAGAGCATGTTCAGAAATTAATGAGATATAAAATGTCACTGGTGTCGGGAATGTTCTGAGTTTTAAGTGTTCTTAGGTCACTTTACAAGAAAACCCTATCCCCGCTGCTCCAGAGCCCAGGACTCTGCTTCATGTGTAATGCAGCTCCAGTGGGAGGTAGGGTGTTTGGGACTTGGTGGCCTTTCTTCGTAAAGCTGCTCACAGTGCTTGTTTTTTAAGGTTTTAGAAGATGGCGAAATTCATGACTCCTGTGATCCAGGACAACCCCTCAGGCTGGGGTCCCTGTGCCGTTCCTGAGCAGTTTCGGGATATGCCCTATCAGCCCTTCAGCAAAGGAGATCGGCTGGGGAAGGTATTGGGTCCCTTCGGCTGGGGCAGCTGCTCCAGAGCTCCCATTTCCTTTTTACTCTCTTTGTGGCTGTGCTTCCTTCGGGGACACTGGCTAAGGAAGGCCTCGACTCCAGACTGAGTCTGGGGCAGTGCTGCTGGTGCCTTTTTACCTCAGTCTCCCTTACTATCTGGGGTCTGTGGCTCAACAGAAGCCTGCTCACCTGACCTGTTCTCTTCCTTTTCTTTATTGCACAGGTTGCCGACTGGACAGGGGCCACATACCAGGACAAGAGGTACACAAGTAAGTGTTCCTCAGTGGGCTTCCCACATCTAGGCCTTGGGAAGATTGTTGTTTTGTTCAGTAAGCTGCACACGAAAGCTTTTTAGAAAGGCACAGAAATGCTAATGGTGATGGTAGTTATTGGGGATATATTCTGGAGTGTGTGCACTAACCATGGTTTTGGGAATAGTCCCTGAAAGTAAATTGTTAAAATTATTGTGGGGTGACAAGCCAGACTCCTAAAAATATGTTAAGTGTACTGCCATTTGCATTCTATTGCTTGGGACTTCCTGAAGCTATCATTCAGTGGACTCTAGGTTTTGGGCCCTGGTTTTAAGGTTTTGGAAAAGGAACGAGCTTTTCATGGGGCCAGTTAGATGGTTGGGAGTGCCAGCCTGGAATACTAAGTTAAGGTGAATGAGGTCAGAAAGAAAATATATCATGGTCGATGGCAGTGTCCATGGCTCTGGGTGATGGAAATGGTGCAGCTCAGAGACATACATGACCAGGCAGAGGTGAACTGGGTCAGCTTGAGATCTTGGGCTCTCTTGGTAAGTTCTTTAGACTCAAGCTCTTAAAACTTAAATATGTGTATGAATCACCTGGGATCGTGTTTAAATACAGGTTCTCATCTGTCAGGTCTGGGCAGGGCCCGTGAGTCTGCACACCTCACAAGCGCCTGACCAGTGCTACGGGTCCCAAAACCACACTTCTGAGAGCAGGCTCAGGACTGTCATGCACATGAGCGGTCTGTAGGGAGCACTAAGCACACGCTGTCACCTTTACCTGCAGACAAGTACTCCTCTCAGTTTGGTGGGGGGAGTCAGTATGCATATTTCCATGAGGAGGATGAGACAAGCTTCCAGCTGGTGGACACGGCACGCACGCAGAAGACTGCCTACCAACGGAACCGGATGCGATTCGCACAGGTAGGCCACAGGCCTGAGCACCTTGGATCTCCTACTGTGAGAATTTCTGCTGCTCAGCAACCTTATCTTGGGAATACCAATGAGACAGGAAAGGCTTGCAGGCCTCTGGCCAAGCCCAAGTGGCAGTATAGTGACCAATTGTATCAGGATGAGTTGTCCAAGGATATGTTGAAGGAATTTAGATTTCTGCTCACAGTGGGTCAGACATCACACAGCCATGCTGGGAACCTATTTCCTTGCTTAATTGCAGCATGCAGCCTTTGTTAATTAGATGGTTTGGTTGGGTGCTACATAAAGATGTAAACTTAGCAACTGCAGGAAAACGAGTAAACCCACATTGCTGGAAATGAGTTCAAGCTAATGCAAATACTACAAATGTTATAGAGACGTGAAACATGGGGCTTCACACACCAAACTTGCTCTCAAGATATTAATAAGCTATGGCTCTAAGAGGTTAATATGGGTCTCTTCCTGCTCCCCAGCGGAACCTCCGCAGAGACAAAGACCGCCGGAACATGGTACAGTTCAATCTACAGACACTGCCCAAGAGTGCCAAGCAGAAAGAGAGGTGAGCATCCCTTCCTACCAGGATAAAGTTGTGTTCCCAAATGGGCTGTATTCAAAAATCACAGAGCCTAGCCAGGGATTGGCTGTCTTTCACTATTGGAAAAGAAACCAAAACCTCTTAGCCTGTTGCTGTCCAAGGCTGGGTGGGTCATGGCAGGCAGGCGGGAGGTGACTGAGGTAGACATTTATGCTAAAACAAACAACAGGTAGAATTGAAGTGGCTATGGCCTCTGTAGGTTCTGGGTGCCTAGTTCCAGGCAGCACTGTGTACACAGTGTCCTGTGGGTTCTTGGGGCTGAGCACAGCAGTCACCACACCCTAGCCAGGATTGCCAGTAACTGGGCTAAATGCACCCCTACAGTTTGCTGGGGGAGGGAGTGTACTGTGCCCCTGCTCTCATCCCCAGTGTGCACCAACACAGTCTCTTCGTCTCTAAGCCACCATTTTCAATCCTGGTAGCAGCCAGGAAGGACACGGCGATTCAGCCAGAAGAAGCTGTTGAAAGCATGGCATTCTGTCTGTCTTTTCAGAGAACGAATTCGCTTGCAGAAAAAATTCCAGAAGCAATTTGGAGTGCGGCAGAAGTGGGACCAG